CCCTCTATCCAGGTCAATCCAGCAATCAACCTCAATACATGATAAGAAACTTGGACACAGTACCAGAAGTAGGTCATAATTAAGCAAGGTAGCTTGTTAGAGCCTTACAGGTTGCCTAGAAACAACATTTGCAGAAGTGTTTAACCACGTCTAAAAATAATTGTCCAGACAAATCAGAGACCAATAGGATCATTATTGTAAAAAATGTCACCTCATGCTGACTAAGGGACAGAACTCTTTGATCAGTTGTGCTCTTCTTTCACAAAAGAGAAAACCATCCACACCAAAGGAAATACATTGTTTTAAGGGGCAGTGTGCCTGTAGTCATACAGGTCTCGTATAACCTGCATGACATGGTATCAATTTTAGGCAGTGCCTGTGAAATCATCCAGACAAATTGTGCTTAAAACTGGATGGCATTGCACAGGAATGATCTGTAAGATAAACCCGTCTTTTTATTTACAGAGTAGTAATCATTCTCCATCTGTGCAGTTCCCAAACCTGTCAATAACGCCAAGCAAGCGTAGCATATTGGAAAACAAAGCACAGATTAACTTCTGCAAGGCTTGCTCTAGTGCTGAATGGAGTGGAAGATGTGCTATTTGCTTGTCCTGCCGAAAATCTTAGAGAAACCGAAGCCTCTACATACTGCAGGAATAGTCCTCTTGGTTGTATTCCCTGTAGAGTAGCTTTGTCAGACACTGACCTTCAGTGCAGTAGATTGAACAGCACAGCTACAGGTCTTGTAGAAGTGGATAAAACGCTTAGAAAGGCCTCCGACCTTTCAGAAAATACCTGCAGAGCCTCAGTCACCAGCCTATCAATCCTATGGCATCTCATTCAAAGCATAGCAGAGCCTTCAAGGAAAGCTACTGGACCTGGAATAAGGGGAGGTAATTGTATGACCCTTGGGATCCAGGCAGTGTGGGGACTGTCACAACAATGCTGAGAGCAACAAACCACTTCTGGTCTGTGTGGAAAAACTTAGAAGCCCACATAGTTCACAGGGTCCAAACACATCACCTCCCCTTCCTTCCTCCCTCTATCACTTCTCAACAGTTTCTCCTCAAGAGAAACAATGATGGCAAACACCTTCAGTTCACACCTCTAATTAAATTTCTATCTCTGCTGCAAGACATGTGGGAATAAAAGGCTAACATGGAGCTTTCTACTTAGGCAACAACCAAAGGAAAAAAAAACAGAGGCAACTACCAAAAGCAATACTGACGATGGCTCCTACCTCCATTCATGAAGCAGGGCCTCATTGTATCATTGCTTATGTTATTCCTATTTCTAGAGCTAAAACTCACCTTTCCACCCAGTTCTTGTAGCTGGGGATGTCCTTGGCATAGAGAAGCTTGTTGGAGGGTGAGTCTTTGCCCAGACGGTGCTCTGAGGTGGAACAGGAGTCCATGAAAGTCTGAGCCACTACAGAGAGGCAGGCATCTGTGATGCTGTTCTTGTGGATGTCGAAGACGAACTGTGGGTTTTTGATCATGTTAACCCAGAACCGTAACGGCAGGCTGCAAGAGGGGTGGGAGAGGAGGAAGAGATGAGTCAGTCAGTGCACAGTTCACAGGCTTTGTTGTGTGAGGTTACAATGGTAAATGGTGGATGGGAATCAAAGATCATGGCATGGAGATAAGGATTCTGGCATAAGAGTTGTTCTACTATAAATTCCCCCCCTACAGGACTCTAGGGATGGCAGTGGAGTCACCTTGGGAGTGGCTTTTGTCCCTGTTATCCTTATAAGCCAGATTTTGTCAGTCCTAAAGTCAATGCCATCTTATTGCAGTTACACATAAATTAATGGGAGTATAACTGAGGTAATAAGAATGACCCCCAACTTCTCTATGTTAGGTCGCAATATGAAGTTGCAGCTGTCGGCTGCTTCATCAGATGAGGACAGGCACTGCGTCTGCAAAACTTAGAGTGAACATTTGTCATTGAGGGACTTGGCTTTTAGCCCTCATAGCAACCCCATGGGAAGAGAGGTAGGTAGACCTCCCAGGTTGAGACTAAGAGTGTTAATGGCATGTGCTGTGGACACCGTATACTGTCTCGCTCCACAGCTCAAGCCCAAGCCCACGTATGATCCCAACACATTGGGCCTGAAGAAGTCGTTACATGACAGGGAAAAATGTGTTGCCTCAAGGGAAAAACGGAATTGGGAAACAAGTGTTGCAACCTTTGAAATGAAAATGTATCCGCCCTAACCCAGGAAATGTTATTCTGATTGCAGTCCAAAGCCTTTTTTTTTTCCCCTTTTTCTCAAAGGAGCAGTTCATTTGTATGAGATTCCCTGAGGTATCTACCTCCAGCCACTGCCTCAAGCTTTTTTGTCAGGGTAAATGCATTCATATGATAGTGGCCTGGGAGCTGAGATGTGTCACTGATCAGAAGCAAACTCTTGTCTCTCTATTGAGTAGACTGCTAAGTCTACCTTCAGTTTCTGCACCTTCCCAAGAAGAGGCTATTCTTCAGCTTAAAAAATTCACCTGATGTTCAGGCTAAAGTCCCCAGCTCCTCAGTTCTTCCCATTTGCTCATTACCCCCAGCACCATAAAAAATTCATCTCCAAGTCCGATACGTTTTGACTAAGAGCAGGTGGTTTAGCATGTCCTGACAGGGATGACACCACATTTTCCTCAACCACTGTGTGTTCTCCCAAGCCAGCAAAATCACAGGAGAAATGTAAGGAAAGCCCCACTCAGGTAATCCTATCAGCCAAGTTCAGGAGAAGTGAGAGATGCAGGCTGTGAGACCTGATGGAGTTGTGGGGGGGAAACCTGTTAGGCTGGGGGCAGAGGTTCATCTGCTGGGGGACGAGGTGGCTGAGTGAACTGTGCAGAACTTCTGCAGGTGTTTGGATGGCAAACACAGCCACAGTGAGGGCGAGCGGAGAGTGCATGTGTGTGTGCCTGAGTGTGTGTACGGGTACGGGGAGGGCTGGGGGGATGATGTCCCTAGCTGTGAATAATGAAGCCCATGATGTGACTTTGAGTTAATTTAATCTGATTGAACAGATTTCTTCATACTGCCCCTTTTCCCACATACACACACACTCTGCCTTCCCCCTCCCCCCTTAAATAAACCTCCCGCTCATTTAGGCTGAGTGGCTGCAATCAGCCTTAGATTAGTGCCGCAGATAATGTTAATAATATGCTAATGTTTCATTAGTTGAAAGCCTCTTTGGTGCATGGGGTTTCTTTTTTTATGTCACTGCGCTGTGACGATCTGCCATCAGCATGGCTGGTAAAAGGAAAAAATGCATGAGCTGGGAGCCCCATGGCTCTCCTCTGCTGTGCCTTTTATAGTCCCTGTATTTGCACAGGAGAAGGGGAGGGAGCGATTCCCCAGGGCACTCTTTCCAACAGAGAGACTCAGCAGAGAGGAGCCGCAGAGATCTTTTCTCTCCACCGATCCTGGCTTTTCCCCGCTGTCCCATCACATGTACGAAGAGGGGTTGCTAGAGCGGGGGCTGATGTCATTTTGTCACTTGCTCCAAAGGAAACTCACATCCAGCTCCAGACCCTCTAAGTTCTTAGTACCATTTGAGATGGTCTGCTGGTCTCCAGCTGCCAGCCCGGGAGTGTACAAGTATCCTGTGGGTGCTGCCCATCCCCTGCGGATGTCTGAGATACCCTAAAATATCTCAGATGGCACTAGATGCCTATGCATGGGCAAACAAACGGAGCTCTACCCTACTCTGACTATAGTGGGAATTCAAACATCCAGTCTAGATGAAGACAGTGGTGCTGAAACCTCTCCCATGCCTCCCTAGATATTCCTATAGGCATAGGCACTGCAGCAGTTAAACACTTCACCATTTTTCCTCACGAGGTCCCTCAGAAATACTGTCATCCCCATGTAATAGAGGACAAACTGGGACCTGTTTAACCAAAGCTCCATCCTTTAGATTCTGGGATATTTGGATTTCCCCATCGGCTTGGGAAGACTGAGCCTGGTCCTCTGAACCCCACACCAGGATCCTCAGCTCCCCCCAGCAGTTGAACACCAAACAACATGTCCCTCTAGTCTTCTTCCAGTCCAGGACCTGGTGCTGGACTGTACTGGGGTGTCTCACTCACCAATTGCTCTTCCAGGTGTGCCGCACATGGGGGTCATGGATGTTGTGCTTGTCGGCCTGCTCATCCAGGAAGTCAAACATGTATTTGATAGCCAAGGGAAGCGCACTGCCACGGTGAGCAGTGCTGAAGATGGTCTCAAAGAGGTCATCTACAAATTTCTGGAGGGTACCCTGTTGGGTAAAGGAAGAAGAGAAGAATGTGAGATACCAAGTGGGAAAAGGATGCTGAATTTTGCTACCCAATTGAAAACAGAGTATGTCTGTGGATCAGGCCCAGAAAGTGTGATTGAAAAGTGGGAGCCATCTAATATCTGTTAAATGTGACATGAGTCGGAATTTTCAATACAGATGTCTTTAAGCAGGCATGTGCATCTTTGTAATATCCACCACATCTGGTTAGCGGCCAGATGGGGTACGTCAAGATGCTACCTGTCCTCTCTGCTACTAGCACTCCCTGCCAGGGAGGGTGGCTTGAGCTGGGGTGGGTTACCTTCTCCCATCTCAGGTATATGGTGATGGAGAGGCCCTGATCTGTTTCCATCAAGATTCCGCTCTTCTGTATCCTATCCTCAACTGCGTTAATGCATGCATGAGACAAAAACTAGTCATTTCCTATGCTGGATTTCATACAGGGCTAATTCTTAAGCTGGAAATAGAAGTCAGATGGCCGTAGAGCAGAGCAGGAGGTGTCTGACACAAATGGGACAAGAGTATTTGGAGAGAGATGGCTGTTCTATATGTGAGTAGTATAATAAAAACCACAAAATCCATCTTAATGCTCAAGAGGTCTCCTCACTACAAGAAGGACATTGAGGTGCTGGAGCACCTCTGTTGCCCAGAAAAGGGCAACAAAGCTGGTGAAGGGTCTGAAGTACAAATCATACGAGGGGCAGCTGAGGGAACTGGGGGTGTTCAGGCTGGAGAAGAGGAGGCTGAGGGGAGACCGCATTGCTCTCTACAACTACCTGAAAAGGGATTGTGGTGAGGTGGGTGTTGGTCTCTTCTCCCAGGTAACTACTGATAGGAGGAGAGGAAATGGCCTCAAGTTGCGCCAGGGGAGGTTTAGATTGGATATTAGGAAAAATTTCTTTCCTGAGAGAGTGGTCAAACATTGGCACAGGCTGCCCAGGGAGGTGGAGGAGTCACCATCTCTGGAAGTGTTCAAAAAACGTGTAGATGTGGCACTTGGGGACATGGTTTAGTGGCATGGTGGTGTTGGGTTAATGGTTGGACTTGATCTTAAAGGTCTTTCTAACCTTAATGATTCTATGGTTCTGTGATACCTCATTTTTTACTACGCATTGGCATGGGACTGAGGCAAACCCTAGAAGCAATGCATGGATGTGTCAGGTACTGCTCTGCAGACCCCAGTAATGTCCACTACAGAGACTGCAGAGATCTGCTTATGCTTCTCTGGGAAGAGAATCCCAGACCCTGTGCTAGGAGAACCATCCCGGACATGCCGGTGAGGGTAGTTGACCTTTATCAAGAAAGTGAAGAACTGGAATATCAGAGAAGGACCAGGCTTGGAGAAGGGGGCAGTTGAGTTGTGATAACCAGATGAGCTGCAGGCTGGGTTTGGAGTGGAACCAAGCAAGGCACGTTTTCCCTGCTGCATGGGGGGCTCTAGCCCACATTTGAACCTCTGCTCTGCCTCCAGAGCTGCACAGGACTTTATATGTGAACAAACCATACAGCTGCTGAAATAACCAAAAAAGCAATTAAACCTCCAACAAATGTTTCCTGATATGCGCAATTTCCTCAGCTGAATAATAAACCCCTCCCCTTTCTCTGCAGACCCGGGAAATAAATTCTCCATACTAGAAATGCACCAGGTTCCACCAGAGTGGCTTAAGTTTACATAGCGCTAACAAATACTTAATTAGAAAGCTGGTGTCTCTTGCTGATTCACCACTTGATTCATTCTTCGGGAAAGAAACAGAGGTACCTTTTGCTTGTGTGAACTCCTACAGGGTGAATAAAGCCCTGCAGCACATGTCTGACTCAGAAAGGACCCCCGAAGGGAAATCTTGTTGGCCTGACATGGAAGAGCTGCCCTCAGGTTCAGTTTCTGGAGGGAATTAGTTCTCTACATGCTCACCCACACAAACACAAAGAAAACCTCTGAGGCTTTTAGGCAAGAGACTCTAGGTCTCAGAGGTCAGGGATTTACCAGAATAAAAATCAGTCAGTTTAACTAAGTATTCCCTGGGATTGTATTACCATCAATTCCTCTTCCCCTCCCTCAAGATGGTCAGTCATGACGATAAAATTGCTCAGCCCATGTGGGGAAACAATAAAGTCCCAGCCTTTCCACTCTCTCTGTTGCTGTGCAAGTTTCACAGATGCTTTCCTGACATCTCCACACACAAAAAAACCCAAACAACTAGTGTCGAGTTTGTGATCCGGAACAGAAAGCAAAAGCGATTCAGTGGTGGGGTAGAGGACATATCCCCAGACAGTGTAAATCAGCACTGGTCCAATGTTTGCTGGCTTACACCAGCTGGGGCCCGAGCCCTGGGGAGCATCATTTGCTTTTCACATTGTGTGATCCGTAAAAGCATCTTGATGCCAGGGAGCTGGGCATGTACCAGGGGCTAAAGACAAAGCCACTTTATCTCCAAATCCCATTGCAACGGAGACAGCCTGAGTTAGGCTGCAGGGGGAGTCAGCCATCAGAGGCAAAATGAGTTGAGGAACAAATGTGCAGGTAAAACTGTATGGTAGAACTTAAGCATGTGATGGAGACCTGTCTGCTGGGCAAACTCAGATGGCATTTGCATGAACATACGAAATTGTGTTTGTGCCTATTAACACCCTGACAAGAAATTATAATAGTCAAAACATCAGAGAAGGGAGGAAGGTTGGGCTGTTTGATCACTCAGAACAGGGTGAGATAAGACTGTGATCAGCCACACCTGAGACACAGCTACCCTACAGCTTCCACTTCTGGGGTGCATTGAGGTAACGCTCATGTTGGAGAGGTTCATGCACAAAGATGCTCTGTGCTGCAAGAGGATGGCAGAACTGCAAAGGGATCCTTTCTCTGGTTATACTGCCTGCCTCCCCACCTGCTCTAGTCCCTGCTGAGGTGCAAAAGGAGATCATTGCAGCCTCTTCATTAATGCAGGCTTCTCCAAGGCTATCCACAAAGCAAAGAAATATAAACCCAGACAACTACTTTTGCCCACGCTCTTGTGGAGCCTTTTCAAGTGAGTTAGGTGGCAGATAGTTTTGATTAGAGTTGAAAGAAGGTGAAAGGTCTGAGAGCTTTTGTCAATCCCAGAGCGAGTCAGCTGCAGCAAGAACCGGCCATGCTCTTTGCAGGGAAGTGTGGTGGTGAGTTATAGTGAGTTCTTTCCATGCAGACAGTGGCAATTAAGCCACTTTCTCTTGCTGTTGTTGAGCCCAAGTCCACTGCAGGATGTTTTAGACCTGTCAGCTTGAGCATTCTCCACTTGTGCAAGTGTCCTCCCCATGGTGCTGCATCCCCAGTTATGCTAAATACTCACATACTGCCCCGCTGCAGAAGTTTTGCAGGCTCTGGCAGGCATCCACTTGGAATAATGGTTTCCAGCATTTTGGGTAATATGAATGGGATCTTACCAACTTCCCAACACTGAAGAAATGTTGTTTTGGGAAAGCACAACCAGCCAGATCACAACATAAGGGAGGTCTTGGGTCTGCACCACCCCTGGGAGCAAGTCTTCATAGCGTAGGAAGTCCTTGTGTTCTCTGCAGACACGTGCCGTGGGCCAGCGGTGATGTATAAGACATGCCTGGAGAATCAGTTCAGGATGTCCCTGCTCTGCCCCCACCTGATTTAATCTGTATTTTCTCTTTGGAGATCCTGAGCTTTCCATGTCTCATTGAGGATGGACATCTAACTCTGCTTGCTCTCCTTGGAGCTGGCCACCTATTAGCCACATCACGGTCAACTTGACCCCCTGCCAAGTCATCAGCATGAGAGTCTTTATGGGCCTAGGGGAAAGGTGGAGAAGGACTTGTACTAAAAATCTCAGGGTTTTGTGGCAGAGAAGCCCATTTCAGACTGTGAGGCATGACACATCCTTGGAACCTGATCGGGGTGCATTTACTCCCTGGCTCTTCATTTGCTCCGTTTTGGTACAAGCTACAAGCCAGTATAATCAACAACCCCAATACAGACCTACTCCTGTTCTGACTTTCTCGACCAGTCTCATGACCCTGGGTTCTTTACTCCTCATTGCTCACCAGGGTCCCTTTTCTGATTTTGCTTTCTAAATTCAAGCTCCTTCCCTCCACCCTTGGAGCACTCCTCTTGCTCTATATTCTTTCTCTCTTCTTTATTTCCCTTTGGCATCCTTTGAGCAGTCTTGTTGGTGAGAAGTCTCACTGCAGCCTTTAAAAACCCATTTCTCACTCTCTTCCCCACCCCCACCATGTACCTTGGTGGCAAGTAGTCTTGTCAGGTAGATCTCAGAAACCATCTTGCTGCCCCGGTCACCCTCTTTTTGGTCACCATGCTCATGGTTCTTCACCAAGTGCCACATCTTGACTCCACTCTCAAGGTCAGGGGTGATCATGGGTGTGCGGGAACGGAGGCTGTCCGGGCTGCCTGTGTAACGGATCATGTTTTCTGCAAGAGAGATGCGTGTGCCTCAGCCCTAGTAGCGCTCGCATTGAGATTAACAGACATCACCAAGGATATATGCTAATGACATGTCACTTAACAGAAGAATTCCGTCAGACAGGCAAGAAGACCTGCTCTGTCTGCGTTTGGTAGCAGGTACCTCTCCCACTCAGTACATGGAGTGGATGCTCGTACAGATTCTGGTGTGGGGCTGAGATGATCACAGCTTCTCACAGTGAGTCCACCCTGCGGAGATGTTAGTTTGGGTCTCCAAAGGGGGAAGGTTATAGCAGTACTGTGATGTCCCTGCTCTCACAAGCTCTGCATTTCCATATTAGTATTGAGTAAATTTCTATCAACCAGTTTGTAACGTCAGGCAGCACAGGTGTATCTCCTGCTGGAATTACAGTGTGAGATGGAGAAGCCCCTGAAGCAGCTGTATGGACCAGGCCTTATTATCAAAGCGTTATGACTGAGTGATTTGTTCAGCAAGGGACATCAGCCAAGCTGGACGTGATGTCAATGTCTACACTGTTAAATTAAACGAGGCTCAAACACCGACGTTCGGTAGCCCATGCTCTTTACCTCTTATCACGTTCCCTGGTAAAGCTTTGGCCTGGGGCAGCCAGCACTGTCGGTGTCAGACACTGCCCAGGACCAGGTCGGGGGTAGTACCAGCTACCACCCCAGGTGGGCCCACACAAATTTCCTCCCCAAGGACATCTTTAGCCTCCAAATTTTATCTCCCTTTGCCTCTGAGTGATGGCATGAGGTATTCCCCTCTCCCTGACCTTCCAGCAATGCTGCAGATAGAGTCTTTTCCAACCATAATTAACACAAGAGTGTTGCACCTTCCTGTAGCAAGATCTGAATCAGCCTCATTAATGCATTACTGATCTCTACATATTAATTATCAGACTGAATATCCTTTTCCTCTCTGGATGCTGTTTTCTTAATTGCAATTAACAATCACTCTTGACCCACCACATCTTCTCCTCCCCCTGCATTCTTCCCCACTCCCTCCTCCTGAAAAATCAAATGGCAAAAGAATTAAAGAAATCCAGCAGAAATTAACCCCCCTCAAGTCTTCCTTTTCAAAGGTCACTGTGTCTTTCAGTAATTGCAACAACATGGCAAAGAGGAGGAATATTAATAAGGTCTGGTGGATTTCTTATGTCCTTGGAGAAAGAAGAAGGGGGCTCCTCTGGGCATTGAGTAATTGTACTTTCCCTCAAGCTAAAGGGAGTAAGAAGGATGGGAGATGCTTTCATAAATTAACAAATAGTAATAAACTCGATTCGACAGCTGCATCCAGATTGAAGGGTGGTTTTGCAGCACTCTGGTTGCACATTAGAGATGTTCTGCTTTGTCCTCCATCGTCACCATAGCGAGACACGTCCTGGGCTGCAATTCTAGCACAGGAGAGAAAGGTGTGTGACCATGTGAGTGAGACTCAGGAGCTGTCTGTTTGGCTCTACAAATTTCCACCTGGTCTCTGTTTCATAGCTGTCCCATTCTCAGTTGTCTCATGGGTAAAAAAATCCACTGCCTTGAGATATACTGATGTAAGGCCTCAGTAAGCCATTTAAATTCTATTCCAGGTGTGAATTCCCTTGGGATAATAAGACAGCTGAGTGGGACACACAACACCCACACTGAGATATAACTGTAGACAGGCTATGCCCCATGTAGGTTGTGGCTGCCTGTAGTCCCGGAGGCCTCATCTGCGCCACAGATTTATCTTCACAACACACCATGCTCCGAGGACTTTGCCCACCAGAACGACTGAGCTCATTCAGTGTGCAGTGTTCCTCCCTTGCCTCTCCCTGTGTAAACTCTAAGAGTGAGATTCAGTGATCTAAAATGCAGACAGCTACTCACATAGGATCCTTCTTTCATTAATGAGGGAGAAGTACTTCCCAAGGGCAATCCAGCCACTTGGATCAACAGCTTGGACCAGATGCCAAAGTTTTAGATGGCTAAATCCTCTCCTCATGCCATCCCTCAAGCAATCTTATCAACTAGTCATCTGCCTATCATTCTCTCTGCTGATGCTCAGTGTCTGTAACCACCATGACATTTGGAACCTCTTCTCCAGTGCTTTCTCCATCTATACCAGCACACAAATCCTTACCATATTTGCTGGCTGACGTCCGGGAGACTGTGGAATTGTTGACTGCATTGTAGGCTGTGACTTGCTTGGAGACTAAAGCTACCACAGATCCATCTGGTACCTGTAGAGAAAAAGGGACTTTGTCAATAGGCTTCTGAAAACTGGCTAAGGAGCATGCCAAGGACAGCAGAAATTCAAGCAGCAAAAACTGATCTGTAAACTAGTGTCACTGTAGGCAGGACACTAGTTTTGTCCCAAAGCTTCAAATGCTTTCTTCAGTGGGTCTGTTAACAAAAAAGGGACAAAATCTCCTGTTACACCACTAGAAACCTGCACTTGGGCAAGAGGACAACTGATGACTGACAAAGAAGACTCTGCTCCATTCACATGCTCATTCAAAGACCAGCGATGACAATGTGAGTCTTTGCATTAACCTCAGAAAAGCTGACAGTAGGCTCTTCACAAGGAAGCTCTTATGCAGGACAGGAGCATGAGAAGAATAAATTATCTGAGCTGTTTCAAACATCAAGGATGGCATGTCCCATAAGGATGATAACACTGATGTGAAATTTTCTCTTCCTTCCACCTTAATTGCAGGTGATATCTACCTCAGAAACAGATATCTTCATTTTCTACTTTGACTGATCCTGTTAACCTCTCCATGCACAGTCTCCCCCTCCCACGTGACAAATGCATTGCTGGACTGAAGCGACTACCACAACTTCTTCCTCTTTGCTGCATGAGAGGGTCTCAGACAGGGGAAAGCAGTAGGTTTGGAGTGGCTGTGCTCCAGGGTGTTATGGGATAATGTTTCAACAGGCAACAGAGCTTTCTGAAACAAGCCAGACTTTCCATTTCTACAGCTAAATGATTCTTGTGGGTCCTGTATCAGAAATGTTAACAAGCCAGTGGCTCAGAGGAGCCATATCAGGAATATCTGCGATAAATAAGACATCATAAAAAGGAGATGGGTGAAAAAAAACCTGCTAACAACGTCTAACTCTTGTCTGTGTAATAATAATAATTAGCACTTGCATAGAGTTTTTCATCTTCAAAGCACTGCAGAGGCTAATTAAATAGCCCTTCAGCAATCATGGAAGGTAATTATTGGCTCTTTGTAGTTTTAGCCCCACACTACAGATGGGGAAACTGAGGCAACAGGAATATCAGTGACTGTTCCAGCAAGCTCCGTGTCTGCCCTCAGGATAACCATGGTAAATGATGTAGAGCTCAGCACCCTGGCAGCTCAGCCATGTTCTGCCCCAGAACATAGCTGGGAGCTCATTGCCTGAAGCAAACAACTGGAAAAAGCACAGAAGGGAAAGAAAATTATGCCTGTTTGTTGGTGAAATAAAATAGAAAACATCCCCACTCCCCCTGAAAAAAGTCTTCTGGAGTCAGATAGCAATGTTTCAGTCAATCTGAAGTGAAAAGTTTTGTTGCCTTTTCAAATTATTGCTTCCTACCTCCTCAGGTCAGCTCTAAATGAAAAAAAAAATCTTATGAAACACAGATTGCTAAGGTGTGACTGAGGAAATGACAAAATTGTCAGCATTGGATTAAACTTAATGAAGTGTTTGCTTTTCTTTCTTTTTTTTTTTTTTTTTTTTTGCAAGGAGGGAAAGGAGTATGGGGAACTTTTGACCAAAACTCCATTTTTCATTAAATTTATCACTTGTGTAAGATATTTTTGGACATCTTTAACCCTTTCATATGGGTCTCAAGGACATGAAGAGATGGATGTCAGGAGGACGGATGTACTCAACACAGGGATTCTGCCCCATTATTCACAGAATCAGAATCAGAATTCACAGAATCACAGAATCACTGAGGTTG